TTATGGCAAATAACCTTCGTTCAACTAATTTGGAACGATTTCTAAGACGGATTAAATCTCCGCTTACGCATTAATAGCGCGAATTATATTGCGCGTTAATTGTCCCAAATTGGTCAAAATGGCCACAATGGCAATCTTTAAACCCTCATAAATTTTCGAAAAAAAATCACAGGTGAAATATCTTTTCAAATTTAAGCTCAGGACAACAATACCTTTTGAATGATATGAAAAAAAAATTCCGTCAAAAATGGCTAGTTAAAAAGTCAAAATTTGTCTGAAGAAAAAAAAACCCAACCCGAGCACAAATATTCCGTTACAAATATTCCGTACAGTCGGAACAACAATGTTTAAATGTGCGAGACGAACTTTTTCGCACTGAAAAATCGTTCCAAATTGAATTGAATCGCTCTTTGATTGGAAATAATTCCCTATATGAACAAAATTTAAAGTAAATTTTTTGATATTATTAGCCCAAAGTTCGAACTTTGTCAATGTTTCATTTATCAAAAATTAATCGAGACCATTTAAAAGTCAGTCAAAACCTTCACGGTTTTGCTCTGATATACTAGCAGCCTTGTTGTTCATATCGTCGGAATGAAGTTTCTTTTTTGACGCTAAGACATGTTTTACAGGCACATAAAGAGTCACTACGCAAAACAAGAGAGGGAAATCTGATAGTAAAATCGCAAACAAAGATGTGAAACAATTGGTGAAGTCTCATCTGTACCAACAGTAAATTTAATCAAAACAAACAATTCGACGCTTTTGTGCCAAAAGTACTCAAATCGGATTCCCATTGGTCATTTTTACGCCAGGGTTTTCTGAGACTAAATGTCAATTAGTCAAACGGCCTTAAGTCAAACCACTTAAACATCAAAATCAAGATCACCCTGTCAGCAACGTTTGAGATACTTTTTTTACTGAACAAAAACAGCCGCAGAAACCCGGATGATTTAGATAAACCACCAATAGTTAAAAAAATATCACAGTATTTGGGTTTACTGGGCTCAAAAATTGACTGTTCAATGATCGAGAAAATTTCTTCAGATATGCTAGTAGTTCCGAAGTTTCAATAGCCGAACAAACTAATGAGCCATTTCATCCCAAAGATTTGACCCTCCAATCGGGGATTCAAAACCTTGCCACCGGCCTTTGACGCTACTTTAAAACATTCATATTTGGCTGACCATCCACAATTTTTTTTTAAATGTGTCTTTGGCGCCTATACATACTAATTTTCAGGAGAGCCTGAGCTGAAAAACGCAAATTAGATCAATCAAATTCTATTGAGAGAAAATAGAAGTGTTGAATAGTAAGTAGGCGGAAAACTTTTTGATATTCAAAAGTGTAATTTGTAGCCGAACTTGCATTTGATCAATAACGTGATTCGGTTGCTGCATAAAAACATGCAATTGTGTTCAAACAGCAAACCAAGAGCAAAATAGTGACATCTGCAGTTAATCCAACTAAGTGCCAGCTTGCCAACAGAGGCTAGGACTCTATACAAAAATACCAGCCAATTAATGCCCCGATTTCAAAGTTTTTGACCAATTGATCAATTTTTGGCAAAAAAGCGACTGTTTGCTTATTTTGGTAAAACGGGACTGATTTTTCAATTCGGTACTTATGAATACCTATCGAAGCTAATGACCAAAGCCGACAGGAGTAAAACTGAAATAGAGGAGGTTGTCGGAGATGCTAATACAAACTAAAGAGGTGTCCGGCGTCAACAAAAAAGTAAGACAAACAAACCCAGTTATGTTAGAGAATTTCAGCAGGACCTCATGTAATTCAAAATTTTGAAATTATTTAAGCTCCGATTATGTTTTTAAAGTTATGGGTAAATGAATAGTGCCAATTAAGCTATACTCTGGACTAATTTCTGCGCGCTTCGAAGGTCTTATTTATAATGCTGAAAAGATAACGCAAATTATTCATGCCTGGCAAGTTATCCCGCTCTACAAAATTATTTCAAATTCAGCTGAGGAGCTAATCGATGTCATTTGATGTTGCCCAAAATTTATATTTTTAAAAATATTTTTTTCCTAACTAAAAACTATTCGGTTCCAATTAAGGGATAGTCAGAACATTCAGAGTTTTGCGCTGACAAACGCGCAGTTTTTTGTAAATTAGAAACAGCCCAAATGGTTTTTCCAAAAAATTTTTTTTGAAATTCACGAGTTAGACAACTGAGTTGCTAAAGATTTTCAAAAAAAGACTGTGTCGGGAGTCATTAAACTAAGAATTACAATTCATTTTTTCTATCCAAAACAGAAAGTAGCAGAAATAAAATGACTTAGAAAATAATGGAATTAAAAGAAATATAACTTAACAATCAAACGTTTTTGAAAGATTGAACAACCCTGCTTGTTTCAAGGCGAAGCCTTGAACGTTCCTACTGCCTTTTAAAATCTATGGAGCAGTAATAACATGAAAAAGTTACCAAAGAAGTATTTTTTTTATTTGAGATTTTTGCAAAAATCATCCCTGCACACGCCATTTAAAGTACAAAGTGATAGACTTTGCTCCTAGCAACAAACCAATTATGAAAAATTAATCTTCCTTCAACCAATTTGGAATAATTTCTAAGATAGATTAATTATCCACTTACGCGTTAATAGTGCGAAATAAATCGCTCGTTAATTATCCCAAATTGGCCAAAATGGCAATCTTTAAACCCCCATAACTTTGCAAAAAATGATCGCAAGTGAATTATTTTTTCAAAGTTAGGCTCAGTAATGATTTGGTCTTTGGTCTTTCTAGACTATTACGTTTGATTTGAGGTCAAATTGGTGACATAACTGGTCATTGTTTACGAAATTATGCACATTTAACCAGTTGAAAACAGCCAAAACAACCAAAACAATGTTTTAATTATATGTGTTTCATTTGCTTTGCTGTTTCTTTGGGCGCATATTGAACATAAGCAAAAGTCAGCTAGAACTGATTGCTAATCGCTTCATTCAAGTCTCCTAATGAAGTCATAGCAACATTCAACAGCACTGGATTATTATGAAGAGTGAAACTAGGGCTAAATGTTTCAGGTTATGTTCAAATCAGGACTAAAACGAATTTATTTTTCCGATTTTCGTAACAAAAGTAACGGAATTTTTGTGCTCGGGGTGGATTTTTTTCTTCAAACTAATTTCAAATCATATCATTCAAAACGTATTGTTGTCCTGAGCTTAAATTTGAAAAGATATTTCACTTGTAATCGTTTTTGTTAAAGTTATGAGGGTTTAAAGATTGCCATTTTGGCCAATATGGGACAATTAACGCGCCTTATATTTCGCGCTATCAACGCATAGGCGGAGATTTAATCCGCCTTAGAAATCACTCCAAATTGGTTAAAGAAGCTTATTTGGCATAATTGAGTTGATACTAGTAGCGAAATATATCACTTTGTACTTTATAAGGCGTGCGAGGGGATGATTTTCACAAAAATCTTAACGAATATTTTTGTTCCGACTTTCGATACGAAAGTAACGGAATATTTGTGCTCGGGGTGGGTTTTTTTTTCTTCAGACAAATTTCGACTTTTTAACTAGCCATTTTTGACGGAATTTTTTTATATCATTCGAAAGCCATTGTTGTCCTGAACTTGAATTTGAAAAGATATCTCACCTGTGATCATTTTTCGTGAAGTTATGAGGGTTTAAAGATTGCCATTTTGGCCATTTTGACCAATTTGGGACAATTAACGCGCGATATAATTCGCGCTATTAACGCGTAAGCGGAGATTTAATCCGTCTTATAAATCGTTCCAAATTGGTTGAAAGAAGCTTATTTGCCATAATTGATTTGTTACAAGTAACGAAATCTATTTTTTTTGTACTTTATATGGCGTGTGGGGGGATGATTTTCACAAAAAGTTTCAAATTTTGGAAAAAATTTTTTTCATTATTCTTTATTTTATTCAAGTTTTTATGTTATTACTGCTGCTCCATAAACCTTAAAAGGCAGTCGGGACCTTCAGGGCTTTGCCCTGATACGAGCAGTCTTGTTAAGTTTAATTTTATTTTGTTATATTTAATTTGTTTCATTTTATTGCTGCTGAATAGACCTTAAAAGGCAGTCTGAACATTCAGGGCCTCCCTCGGATACGAGCAGTCTTGTTACATTTAATTTTTTCATGCTATTGCTGCTCCATAGATCTTAAAATGCAGTCGGAACATTCAAGTCTTCGCCCCGATACGAGCAGTCTTGTTATGATTTATACCTCGAAACTATGTGACAGTTTTTTCTTTTGCACGGAATAGAAAACAACCGAAAACAAAATTCTTCACATTTCGTGGTCAGAAAAACAACAATGCCTTACTTGGGATTCCCAATATTTAAACCCCTGGCCAGCGAAACCTTCCCTGCTTCGATTTGACATCTAATTTTGATTCACCAGCCTTAATTTTCTAACAGGCCTTTGGCGCCAGTATACACAAAATGATGAAGAGCGCGCACCAAAAAGCTAACAGTTTGAAACAAAACCTTCTAAAAAGTGCAATATTTTTTGTCCTGTTTCAATAAATTGCCTCTGAGAAATGTTGCACCGATTCGCTGTGTACTAGTGTTTTGGGAAGGCTCGAAAGTTCTATTTGGACAACCTAAAAAAAAAAAAATATATATATATATATATATATATATATATATATATTTTTTGAAAATCTGCGATTCCATCTGCAACTTGTTGGGAAAATTCTCGCTCCACTCCTATCACTGAGCACCAATAATCAGTTGTTTAAGCAAGCATAAGCAAGCCCGCGTCTGAAAATAAATAATTGGTATTAGATCCAATTTCACCAGAGAAAAGGGAATATCTAAGTGTTACAAAAAGGCTGAGCACTGCTCCATAAACTACATTTAACCAAGACTCTTAAGCGCGTTCTCTTGTAAGTAAAAAAAGGAATTGAATTCGTTTTTTCATTGGACGAAATTGTGCAAAAAAATCCATAACTGAGGCGGTATATATGAAATTTGACTTCTATTATTTTAGACCAATCCTTTTTGGTAGAAACTCCGCCATTTTAATATTCACCAAAACCAATCCGTGCATGTTTTACTGTTCCTTGATTTGGGCTCAATCCAACGTTTTCAGAACAGTTTAAAACATCCTGGGCTTGGTTTTACTATTTTCCTTCGTCATTACTTTTATAATTTCTCGTTGAAAAGTAATCTTTTACCTTAATTTCGACTGTTTGCTGGGGAAAATGTCAGAATTGATAATTCGAAAATTTGCTTTTTAATAACCTCTTGGAAGCACTAAGCAAATATTGTGCTGCCAAATTTAATTGCCTCGATTTATTCAAAAATTGAACGGTTTTTAGTTGCCGTTTTTTAAATTGAACATTTCTACGAAAATTCTAGAAGCTAAAAAAAACCGACAATGTCAAATTTCACCAACAGCAATGAAACTGAATATAAAATGGAGTCTGACGATTTGCTTGTTGACGATATCGTGAAGTTGTTTTTCTACTCGTTTCTCATAATTTTCACTGTTTTCGGAAACAGCTTCGTTTTGTTTGTGCTTTATCGAAAGCGAAAACAGTTTAACTTTTGGAGGGTGAATTTGTTCATTTTTTATCTCGCATTGGGTGACATGCTAGTTGCACTTACAAGTATGCCCACTAATCTCATCTACGCATCAACAAATGGAGCCTGGCTGTTTGGCAACTCATCATGCAAGGTAAATTTCGATTTATAACACACAATTTAGGCGCCTTACGAAATACACACAAAAAGCTAGCAACATGTAGTTGGTGAATACATAAAGTAATTATGATAACTGTGCCGTCTTAAATTGGGGTTGAAAAATATGGCGCCTAAAACAGTTTCTGGGTGTCCCACTCTTTAACCCTACGATATTTAACCCCCTCTGTTTACACCCCCTATATCATAACCCCGTAATATGATAACCCCACAACAATTTAACCCCCTTTTAATGACGATAGTTTGTTCCAAATTAAGTCCTTTTTATAAGTACAGGAGTAGTCCAATTAAGCTTACTAATTGAGGCCTGAAAAGCTAGTCTTAATTCACTTGATGCCTCTAGCATCTCAAAAGTAACTGCATTTCGATTAGTTAGAGAAATAATCCCTCACTCACGCGTTTAAAACAGAGATAACCTACATGGTGCTAATTGAAGGCAACAAAAGACGTTTGTGAGTTTTATAAAAAATCATACTGCCTATTTCTTTAACCATTGTTATACCACTCTATCAGATCAGATATAATGTTTGAAGCGTCATTCCATTTTACTTTATCTTCGAAAGATAAACAAATGCTAGTGGTATCAGGCCACGAGTATTACCTTAAACGAAAAAACAAAACAACAACAAATTGGAACTGCTCAAAGTACCAAACCCATAAATGCCGCGCAACAGCAATTACGGAAGGAAAAAATTTTATTGAAACGAGGGGTCAACATAATCACGATATTTCCACGGGCAAACCTGATGCTCGACTAGTTTTGAAAAACATCAAGGAGCTAAGCGATAGTAACACCCCAACCGTCGCAGTCGCAACCGCCATTCAGCTAATTACAGACAACATTGCCACTCAACTAGCCCTACCATCCAAAGAAAATTTAGTTCGCACCGCACAACGAGCGCGCAAGCAACGAGAAGAAGTCTTACCAGTCTCCCCAGCAAACAGAAGTTTCGAAATACCCGAAAACGAAACGAAAAAGTGCAGAATATTATGCATGTTTACGAAGAAAAAACTGATTTGCATTTCTTTCGCGCTATGGCGAACTTGAGTTGAATATTTGCTATTTAATCTATATTGCCAAGCAATAAAATTTTTTCCAAGTTTAGTTATTTTCCTTGATTTTTCAAAATTGAGCTAGAGTCGATTTGAAACCGGCAAAATAATAAATACATACAAGGTGTTGACTTTTCTTTTCCCTCCGCCCAACCCTGTAAGGTTAACCCATTTATTGTACCCTTGATATACCCGTTATCATATTGACCCGAAATTCAACTTTTTTGGGAAAATTGGAAAATTTTTTGTGCCGCCAGGGATTCGATCCTTTGAACTCTAGATTTTGAGACTAATGCTTTAACCATTATACCATGAGGCCTTTGGTTGTCATCCGAAAATTTCTTCCAACTTTGGCTCTTTGATCTTAATTAAGCCCATGTTTGAGTTTTCAAAGCGTAGATCAATTCTGTCGGCGCCAAAAGATCAAGGTCAAGAAATTCAAATGGTTTTGGACTGTTTTGTATATGCACCAATTTGAATCATGTCGGTCGGATTCGTTTTCAAGTTCATATCAAAGTCTAGACTATCGGCAAGGTCATTTCTGTTCAAATCTAAAACGCATTTAGCAGCGTGCGTGTTAACTCATTTTGGTTCGCAAAATTTTTCGCAATTAAAGCTTTGATGTTTACCGACGATATGGTTCCGAATCCTTTTCAAGTAACTTTCACTTTGATTCTAACAATTGGTTTTAAAAAGGGGTTAAATTGTAGTGGGGTTATCTGATTTGAGGGTTATATGAGAGGGGGTTAAGAAAAAGGGGGTTACAAAACACGGGGTGATAAGCTTGGGAACCCAGTTTCTGATAGTTGTTTTTGAAACACTACTGCAAGACAGGACAAGAAAGGTCCTAACATTTTCGTTATAATAACAGAAAGAGTTGTTTCTTTCAGTGCAAGTAGCACAGAAAACTCCGACCGCACATACAATTTGGTTTCATGTGTTTTCTATTCACAGGCAATTACGAACCCAAAGGAAATGTATTAGGGTCAAACTCAGTAGCGTGCCGAGGAGATGTGAGGGTTACCCCTTCCTCAATTCTAATTGCAAAACATTTCCAAAGGGCCCCCGTTTGGTATAAATTTACGACATCCTTTTTCATCTGACCAACCTTAAAATTTTATAAAGGCGCCTTGGGCGCCAATATGACTAATTTTAAGGGAGGAGTGCGCGCCGAAAAAACGCAGTTTTGTTGGTAATTATTTTCAAAAAAGTGCCTAACAACGCCCTTGTTGGCCTGTTTTTTTGAAAAATTTGCCTGCGGCATAGAAAAATTCTGACAAAATAGGATCCTTATAGTATTTTTGGAGAAATCGGAAAATCAAATTGATCGACCTAAAAAAAGGTCCGCAAAATTTTCAAAACTTTTTAAAAAACTGCCCGAAACATTTTTGGAACTGAGAGATATTCATTAGACCAAATGGTTTGTTTTCAAAATATGATTGTAATAATATTAAATTTGTTTACACTACGAGAGCAAATTGTTTTATTTTGTATAGTTAAAAAATACATTTTTGGAATAATTATAACCCAGTTTTAACCCAGTTTTATAGCCCAGTTATAACCATGGTTTTAATTCATTAAACCAAATGGTTCTTTTTCAAAATATGACCCGTACCCAAATGATTTTCTGGGCAAGATTTTCTGGGCGAAAAAACGCAGTTTTGTTGGTAATTATTTTCAAAAAAGTGCCTAACAACGCCCTTGTTGGCCTGTTTTTTTGAAAAATTTGCCTGCGGCATAGAAAAATTCTGACAAAATAGGATCCTTATAGTATTTTTGGAGAAATCGGAAAATCAAATTGATCGACCTAAAAAAAGGTCCGCAAAATTTTCAAAACTTTTTAAAAAACTGCCCGAAACATTTTTGGAACTGAGAGATATTCATTAGACCAAATGGTTTGTTTTCAAAATATGATTGTAATAATATTAAATTTGTTTACACTACGAGAGCAAATTGTTTTATTTTGTATAGTTAAAAAATACATTTTTGGAATAATTATAACCCAGTTTTAACCCAGTTTTATAGCCCAGTTATAACCATGGTTTTAATTCATTAAACCAAATGGTTCTTTTTCAAAATATGACCCGTACCCAAATGATTTTCTGGGCAAGATTTGAAATCCTGTATTTCTTACATTAGTTGATTCTCAGATCTGAAGTTCTTCATATCATATCTGGACAAAAATTTGATATTTTCAGGTCTGAAATTTGGATCTGAAAAAAAATTCAGATCTGAGAAACCTTTTGTCAAATTATAAATTACGCATTTCGAGCAAACAATTGAGTCTTCAATACACAATTACGTTTAGATTAACTGGCGATAAAAAAATTTTTCGAATAATTTCCCAAACAGTTTTTTCGAACTAAATTTTTTGTTCAACTGTGATAAAAAGTTTTCAAAAACTGTTAGAAGACCGATCAATTTTTTGACTTTCATGTGCTACTTATGCGCTTCTTATGTTAATTTTATGCTTGCGAAAACATATTTTGGAAGTCTTCCATTGGAGACTTTGCTGAGTACCTGTTAGTAACTAACAGAAGCTATCACATACAAAAATACCAAAAATAGCAAAACTTGTGTCAAAATCATTAATTTTTGAGATTTGAAATGAACAAGAGAAACTAAATTTAAGGTCTGAAATTGATCTGAAATGAATTTTGTTTCAGACCTGACATAACCAAGAAAAAAAATTTTCAGATTTGAAATTAGATCTGAAATAACCCATTCCTAAAAATCCGAGCGTTATTTTAACATTCCAAAACCCATTTCAGATCAGTTGTTAAGTTGTGGTAAGTATCTTTATTGTGTAATAAATTAGCTGTTTTTTTGTTTATAGTGTGGCTCATCGTTTCTAATAAAAAAAGTGACAATAAGGGCAAAATTAGATAGCAATAATTTGCTATTCTTATTAAACTATTTTTTCTGTAACTTTGCGAGATACTTAAATTGGCTTCTTTCTTGTATCAGCCACTTCTTGTATCAGCCACTTCTTGTATCAGCCACTTCTTGTATCAGTGGCTTCTTTCTTAGCAAGTATCAAAAGATTTTCTTCAACTGAAACAAATTTATCCTAAGTTTAAAGTTAAAAAGACATTTTATCTGTGAGCAGATTATGCAAAAATATGGGGGTTCATAAACTACTAATTTGGCTATATTGGGATATTTAAAGCGTGTTAAATTTCAAATTGGCACGCATAGTGTGAGCGGCAATCTGTTCCGGCTCAGATTACCTTCCAAATTTAAAAGAGACAAAATCTCAGAAAACCTGCTGAAACAGCCGGTTTCTCAGATATCTACAAACGAGACCACAGTGGATATTTTAAAGAAATTTAAGATTATATTTATCTCAACGGAGAAAAATACCGCCCACAAGATATCTCACCAATTAATATCTTTAGTTTTTTGCACATCAAAATGAACTACTAGCATTTTTAGGATGGCCCTATTAAATCTTAGAAAGATTTTTATAGAATTGTTATCCTTAGACTGCCACTTAAGGTCTATGGGGCAAAATAAGATATGCATTTTTTTAATTTGAGACCTTATTTGAAAATCACCCCTCCCCACGCCATATAAAGTATAAAATGATAGAATTCATGCTTCGTAACAAATCAATTATGGCAAATAATCTTCTTTCAACTAATTTGGAACGATTTCTAAGACGGATTAAATCTCCGCTTACGCGTTAATAGCGCGAAATATATCGAGCGTTAATTGTCCCAAATTGGCCAAAATGGCAATCTTTAAACCCCGAAGAAAGTTTTTTTTTTTTAATTTTACCAAAAAGTATATGCGGCTTTTTAAAGGGCAGTAGGCTCATTCAGGGCTCCACCCTGATACGAAGTCTTCTTCCTAACTAAATTTGGAATTTCTCCGCTCTCCAACCATATTTTAAAGCTTTACGTTTTACCTGAGATAAAAGGA